GGGGGGGCGGAAGACGACGAGCTCTCCCCGCTTCGGAAGCGCCTGCCACGCGTGTGCGCGGGACGGCCTTTGTTTGTCTGCCTGTCTGGCGTGTGTGCGTGGCGGGGACTTGCTGCAGCTGCGGTTGGGGCCGCAGTGGCGTTGGGTGCGGCGCTTGTGGTGCGGCGGCGGGCGCGCACATAGAGGCGAGAAAACTTCTCGACGGCGATCTGGTCGTTTGGAGAGAGGGTCGGCGCCATGGACTGGGAGGGGATGAAGAAGGGCTCGACCACGCACGTGCGAACCCACAGGAAGAGGCCGAGCGCCGGGATGAAGTTGCGCAGAAAGCCTTCGCCGCGCCGCCGCCACACCTCCGCCGCCGCCAGCGCGCCCTCGCCGCGACCGAGCGGTCGACGCGCCTTGGTTCGGCGCGCGGCTGAGTTCGCCTTCACCCTGCGGATTGGTTTTGGCGAGGGATGCTGCAGCTTTGCGGCGAGCGGCGCAACAACTCGGCGATGTCGCAGCGGCTGTCGCAGCGAAGCCCACGCCGGCGCGAGCGCAGCGGATCCGACGGCGGGCAGCCCGCCGTAGATGAGGGGAAGGAGCAGCACCGCCAGGTGGTGCGCCGGGAGAGGACGCCGCCAGCACCGCCCCCGCCAAGATGAGTCGGGCATTCTCGGTTCGTCGAGGAAAAATAGGCGATTTTTCCGTTCAAGGATAGTAAGAAAAAAGCCGCCAGCACGCTAGAGGGCGCCGCAGGCGCCCTGAGCGGCGCGGAGCGCCGCCGCAGGCGGCGGACAGCAGGTGCGCGAAATTAAACGCCATTTTCGACTCCGCAGTTTTGCCACTGATATCAAAATCCGGCACACTAATCGACTTACGTATACGGTATGTATATAAGTAGAGGAACCAGTGGAGAGGACAGGGAGGGACGTGTCCGAGGGAGGGGGGGGGAACGACTTTAGTGCTGGACGGCTAGAATGGCCGATGGGCGGCCTCGAATCACGGTCACGTCGGCGAGGACAGCGACGGCGTCGTTGGCTGAGTGAGCGCAGGGGCGAGGGCGTCGACCGACGGGCGGCGCATCAGGAGCCCCTCGCTGGCGAGCGGCTGGCGCGGGAGGTCACGGAACGACGGGTCGAACGACGGGTCGAGCCCCCCCCTCCACCGGTCGAGGCCGTGGTCGAGACGGTGAGCGCGGCCGAGGTCCTCGCGAACGTCGCGGAATACGGCCCGAACTACGTCCTGCCGCAGGCCACGGAGTCTAAGACGGCGCGGCGGAAACGGCTGCGCGTGGACGCGGCGGCGAGGATCGCCGGGCACGCTGTCGTCGAGACTGGCACGCACGTGGAGATCCTGGGCGAGCAGAGGTGGTGGCCGGGCACCATCACGGGGCGGGAGGAGGGTTCGGACGGCCGGCTCGTGCACGCGGTCGAGTACGACGGCTACCCCGACCAGGATTTCCGGCTCAACTTAGAGGAAGAGACGTGGAGGCGGGTGACGCTCGGCGCCGGCGGCGCGGCCCCCACCAGCGGCGAGGACAGCGGCGGCGAGGGCAGCGACGAGGCTGCGGACGCGCTGCCGGCCAGCGCGACCGACATCGGCAGCGCGGTCGCCACCGGCGGTGAGGGGAGCGGCGTCGAGGGGGGCGGCGGCGAGGCTGGGGACGCGCCGCTCCCACTGCACGCCCGCTCGGGGCGGAGGAGGGTGCGGCGCAGCGCCGTCATGGAGCTTCTTCGTGCGCGAGACGAGGACGAGCAGGACGAGGCCATGCTGCCGCACGGCGCTAAGCACTCGAGGGCGCTGCGCGAGGTGCGCCGCCGTCTGCGCGAGTACTTGAGTGAGCAGGCGGAGAAGGGGCAGGACGTGCCGATGATGCGGACGGCTCGAGGCCTCCACCCGACCGTTCGGCGAGTGGCTGGCGTCGACGCGAATTCGTGAGTCGAAGGCCAGCCGTTGGGTTGGCTCGCTGCTGAGAAAGCTTCGGCGCGAGGGGAGGAGGCTGTGGTGCGCGCTGGCCGGGGGGCAGGCACTGTGCAGGTGATGCTAGACAACATGGCGCACCACGTCTGGCGCGAGGTGTGGCCGGCGCTGGGCAGGGTGCTAGAGTTGCTCGATCCGGCCCAGAATACACGCTGACGGTGCTGTGGGTTTGTGTAGCTGGCATAAGTGCACTCGGGCGCGGGAGGTGCGCTCGAACCT